CCCAAAATTGAATTAAGAGACAATATTCGTCAACATCTTGGCACGCTCTATTTTTTTCTCTACAAAAAAAAGTAATAATCCAAAATTATATGAATTTGTGATAGGAATATTCATAATTTTGTAATTGGAGATGAATTAGGAAAAAGAATAATAATAAAATTATATATATAAAGATAACTAAAATAAGTATAATAAAAAACAATTAAATAATATTAAAGATATGAACCGAAACAATAATTTTAAAACATTAGACGAAAAGATAACAAGAGTTAGCAAATTTGAAAATCCGAATGAGAAGAAATGAAAAAGCGGGAGGAAAGTTTAAAGGAACAATTTTATAATAGTTCTTTTGCCGAAAAAGCCCGTTTAAAAAGAGAATTAACTGACCTCCAAGAAGAGATGTTTGAAAAGAAAGATGCAGGGATATTTTTAAAGATTGATATTAAAAAAGAGGAGTCATTACAGAGTCGGGCTAATCCGAGCGGTAATCCGACCGACCCAAAACACTTGGCTAAGTTAATTAAGGATGACTTATAAGGAGACGTTAGCCAGTGATAAAAAACCTAAACAGGTTTTTGGCGATTATTGGGAAATCGCTCAGGGTGATGAAATTTGAGCCTTCACTAAAAATAAGGAAATAAAAAAATTGATCGAAAATTTGCCCCGCCATCGCGGTTCAAAAGAAGAAATAATAAATGACATTAAGTCTAGTGATTTAGGTCAAGCCGATTATGATGAAATATTAAAATTAGTTCGCCAAGTAAGGGAATTTTGATTAGAAAAAGATAAGCAAGAAAGGGAAGAAGCGAAAAATAGATTAAAAAATAATTCTAATTTATTTTCTTGTCATAAATGCTCTACTGACCCTGACTATAATGGAATAGGACACTGGCAAAATTGACATTCATTTGGTGGCTATTATAATGGTATCGAATACGAAATTATGGTGCCAGACAACCACTTGGCTTTAACGAATGTCCTGTTTAATGATAATTGAGGCACTAATTCAGAAATTAAAAACCTTTATGTGGTGGAAGGATTGCCCGCCCCAACCGAACTTCGTTATTGAAATGAGGCCAAACAAAAACATGAAATTATTTCCGCAGCGGAAGCCCAACGAACGGGTAAAAAAGTTTATTATCAAAAGATTTGTAATTTAAGTGATAAAATTACTATTCGGCATTATGACGAAAAGTCTGACAAGTCATATTTGGGAACCATTGAAGGCCAGTGAAGTGGAGTTAATCAGGAATTGGTGAAAAATAACGACCATAAAAATATGAGCGGAGGAGTTATCACCCGCCGGGGAGAAAAAGAAAATCAGCAATTAAATAATGAACTTCTGTTAAAATACTTCCGAGAAAATGATATTAAAGAAATTTCCTTGACCCCCGAAGGTAACTTACTAATTAAATATAATAGCGACCAGACAAAAATTATAACTAGCGACCAGACTAATCAAGAACTACAAAAAGTTATCATTTATTGTCAGGAAAATAATCAAACTAATTTAAGTCAACAAGATTTAATTAATAAAACTAATTCACCAACCACAAAATCCGAAAATAGCAATAATTTATTAGCAATTATAGGTATTGGCGGAGCCTTAATAATTGGAGTAGTGATTGGATTATGGTTGAGGAAGAATAAAATTGAAAAAGATAAGCGATAAATTGTGAAGGATTATCAGGATAAGTTTAAGGTTTGAGTTTTGGTCTTTTTTCACTTCTCTTAATTAGGAAAAGTACAACAATTTCTACTCCGACTGAGGAGAAAAAAATAATTCAGAAACGCCTATCGAAAAATGGTTCAATGCGGTTTAATTTTATCCTTAGTTTTTCAGATAATTTAGGATTAGCAGTGGAAGTGGTGGCAATAAGGAGAAATTTAGATAAATCAATTGTACTTTCCACCTCACCCCCACCTAGTTTTTTTTGATATTTTCCCAAGTTTTTATTTTTAGCGGGATCCAAGACTAATGAAAGTTCTTTTTCTAAGGCAGGATTAGTAATTTTATCAATATTTTTAAATAAAATATTTTTTTCTCCTACTGAATGCTTGCCCTGTTTTCAATCCATATCAATTTGGTTTTGGGATTGTTGATAAATTTCCCGAATTTTTTCTCGAAGAAATTGTGGATTAGAATTCCCATTTTTGTCAAAATCAATAATATTAGAGGCTCGACCTCTATTATATACTAATTGTCAACTTCCCTTAAAAGTTGTTCGCACTTTTAGTAATTCATGATTAAACTCTTCACCACAAAATAAAAGGACTGGAGAAACTGCTTTTTCGCCTCATTTTCCTATTCACTCTCATTCTTTTTGTTCTAATAGATAACCGTTTTTTATGCTTTTGCCAAGTGCTTCTTTATATTTTTTTCTAATTTCTTCTCCTTTGCCTTGTCATTCGGGTAAATGCTGATTACGATAATACTCTTTTTCCTTTCTTTCTGCTTCATCTATTTCTCGTTTTGACTTTTTTCTTTCTTCCCTTAACCTTAATATCTCTTTTTCCACTGCAATTTTTTCTTGATTTTTGGGATTTATTTCCGGTTGCAAAGTACTTTTTAACGCCTCTTCCATTTTTTTTCATGGCTTTCCTCGTTTTTCTGTCCTTCTATCAATTCAATTTTCTCTTTCTTCTTTTTCCTCCACCTGTTTCAACTCTCCTTCTAATATAGAAAAGGCTATTTTTCCTGGTAAAACCCAACCAATTATTAAGACCGCCAAAATAATTATTCCTAAAATCAAGCGTCAAGTTTTTTTCCGCCAAAATAAATAACCAAGTGGTAAGACAACCATTAAGGTCAATCAGTAAACAATTAATCTCATTGAATTATGTTAATTTTTTTCTTTCAGAAAATTATTGATAATTAAAATAACTTCTTTTACCGGGTAATCAGGTAATTTTTTTCTGATGTGACCCAAAAGATAATTCAGAACTTTTTGCTGATTAGTAGCAATCATTTTGGCTAATTCGTCATTTCACAGATTTTTTAGTTCTTGTTCTACCAGGTTTTCATTAATATTAGCATTTTTTTCATACTTTTTCACTAGCATAGCAAAGATTTTTTTGGTTTCCATTAGTTCTTTAATTATTGATTTTATCTCTTCATTATCTAACTTTTTTTCTTTTCAGCAGCGAAAAAGTTCGCCGTAGGATTTTCATTTTTTATTAAATAAGTCAAAATTCCCATCCCCAAAATAAGGCGTTAAATAATTAAGATAAAAAGTTAGTCAACTTTTATATTCTTCTTTTGCCAAAGGTTTTTTCTTTTCTAAAAAATTAAATATTTTCAATAAAGGAGGATTTTTGAGAAGTTTATTAGCAGTTTCCAAGTCTGTTCCTTTTAATTCCTCTCAGTAGTATCAAGGTAATTTAGGAATGTTTTTTTTTATCCTTGTGATTTCTGAACCTTTTAACTTAATTGGGGGAATGTTAACTTCCGGCAAATAATAGTAATTGGTTTTTTCCCGGTG